CGGGTTATTTATCGTTAAATATTGGTAAATGTTTTAAAACAGCGGATATGACGTCATTTAATAATAAAAAAATAAAGAAAAAAAATTTTAAATTAAAGAAAAAAAAAAAAAATTTAATATTAAAATCGATTAATCATCGAGAAAACAAAGGTAAAAATAATTTTTTTTTTATGAAAAAAAAAACCGGAAATGATAATAATATTAATAATAATAATTAACGGTGATGGTGGTAAATTTTTACAGATAAAAATAAAATTGATAAAAAATTAGTAAAAGCATTTTATCCGATTGGAAATTTAATCGGGAATAATAAAAGAAAATTAATTCATCGTCATTGGAAACGTTGTTGCAGAAAAACAGCAGAAGAAGAAGATGAAGAAGAAGAAGACGGAAGTAAAAAAAATAACAAAAAACTCGATAATAAAACTTTGATCAACGCTCTTTGTTTTGTAGAAAAAAAATTTTTTCGTAATTATATCGGGGAATTGATAAGGAAAAATACCGGATGTGATTTAAATGAATTACAAAAGATATCCGTCGAAGCTGTCGGTGACACGCCTCTCAACACTTCAGGTATATACAGTCCCTCTCCCTTTCCCTTTCCCTCCAATTAACGACGTTAAACTTTATGGATAAAAATTCCAGGAATGACGTCGGAATCACTCATGGAAGAAAACATATATAGAAAAGACGATGGAGACATTGAAGTTGATTTACAAATTGATCTTACGTTAAACGATTTAGAAAAAATATTGCGGGGAAGGCATAAAAGATTGCGCAGACGACGACACAAATGTAAAATAAAAAGGGGAAAAAAATTTTATCCAGTTTATCTCTCAAATGTGGGTTAATAACAAGTTTTTTTTTAAAAAATTTGATTAAAGTTAATCGCCTCAATATAAATAAATAAATAAAATGTCATCAAGTTCTTATTAATGTTTAGAGGTAATAAAATTAACATTTTTTTTAAATAAATAATTTTATTTAATAAACTTTTAGTTTTGTTTATTTATTTATTTATTTATTTATATACTCCATAAATTCTCCATCTTTAAAAAAAAATATCTTTTTAATAATAAAGATAATAAACCATAGAGTACTCATATATTAATTTAAAAAATAGTTATCGTTATTATTTAATAATAATAATAAAAAAACGATATTTAAACGTTGGAAAAAAGTGGGTGTGCGTGTGCGTGTGCGTGTTTTGACCTGTACGCACGTTTGTATAAAATATATATAGGTCGTAGGATAAAAAAAAAAATCAATAGATGCTGACAGACTCAGATGAATGAAAATCTTTCTTTCTTTACCTTCTTCCGTTCTTTATTATACATACATAAAATTTTTTACGTTTAATAAGATTTTATTTATTTATTTATTTATAATTGGATTTTTTTAGATAATGATGATTTTATATTAATAATAATAATAATAATAATAAAATTGAGTATTAAACATGTGGAAAAATTCAGAAAAAACAGAAAGGAATTCATTATCCGATGATAATTTACAAGATCAAGCACTTCCGCTTCCAATACAAATTTTTTTATGGCGTCAAATCAGGTATCATACCTTTTCTCTTTTTCTATTTAATAAAATAAATAAATAAATAAATTATTATTATTATTTTTCAGTCCTTTTATAAGGCCGAAATTAGGAAAATTACACGAAGCATCATGCATGGTAAGTCACACGATATCTTTCCCTTATTATTATTATTTTTGTAAATAATAGGAGTTGTACATAAATCGAATTTTAAAAAAATTATGTAAATACTACTTAATGTACATAATAATAATAATGATGATAATAATTGACAAGTAGATGTATGTAAATAAAATTTTTTTTTTTTTTTGCTTTCGTTGTATAAATCAAATCCGAAAATAGTTTTGCCAACAAGCACCCGGACATCATGTGAGTAAATAATAATTAATTGCTTACTTAATTAATTAATTAATTAGTTTAATTAGTTATTAAATAAATACCCGATGAAATAATTTCGGTTATTAATTTAAATAAATAATTTTTTTTTTGCTCTCTTATTTTGTCGGAAAATAGGAATTGAAAGAGGCTTGTAAGGTAATTTAAATTAAGTTTTTTTTTTTAACGAACGAGCCTTAAAGAGCCTTAAGGTTAAAATTTTCCTTTTTTTTCGGACAGTCATTTGAAAAAATTTTAGTACAAAATATTCAATATGGTTTATCTCCCAGTTTGACGGATGCTGTGTCTTCTGTACCGAGATGGAGGCTCATTCAAGCAGCTTTTCCACATGTCATGCATTGCACGGCAACTCTACTACAAAATCGGTGGGTTAATTTTTTTTTAAACTCTAACTCTAAACATCTATTAATATTATTATTATTATTATTATTAGCAAAGATACAAACATGCAAAATTTAGGAGCAACCGAATCTAAAATGTTATACACTTTACATTGGATTCTGTTGACTGCTGCCGAAGAATGTGCTGATGCCGATCACGAAAATGGTATTTTTCAATCTTCCCCGTTTTATTATTTATTTTCGATACCTGCGATTACGGTAAATTTTTTTTTTCGTTTACAATGAAAAAAAAATTTGATTTTTAACATATTTATGCGTTTGTTTGTTTGTAGTTATTCATTTATTTATTTGCTCCGATTTATCATCATTTAAAAGAATCTGATTTTCAAACTTATCGATTAGAAAACGGATTAAAAATGTGGCAGGCACTTTGGGATTATAAACATCCGGATATACCTTGTTTTACGGCTCACGTAAAACCAAAACCTAGAATGTTATCAAATAAATCAATGAAAGGAAATCATTTTCAATTTGGTGATGTTTTTATGGGAAGTGAGTCATTTTTTATCTCTTTTTTTTCCCTTTTTTTTAAAATATAAAATTTAAAATTTAAACTTACCCCATGAAAAAGGACAACAGAGCACGGATGATGGTCTCATCTACGGCGAAAGTCCACAAAGTCAAAGTGCGAGCGCTTCTTTTTCTTCCGAACAATTTTCTGGAACTCCAGCACAAATTCACGTTCGCGTGGAACCTATAAAAATAACAGAAGAAGAGGTACGATTAGAAAAAAAAATTATCTGGAAAAAAAAAAAAAAATTAAAATTGACGCGATAATTTATTTTAGGGTAATTGGGTTTCTTCTCCAAAAGATACCGTTTTTCCGGAAACAATACCAGAAGAAAGTTCTAGCACGGAAGAAGAACACGTGGTAAGTAAACGAATTAAACGTGGAAAAATAAAAAAAATTTTGTTGTTGTTATTAATTAATAAAAATTTTAAATTAATTTTAAAGGTTATTTTTCGTTTACCGTCACTGACGGAATCTGATGGAATTGAAAAATCCGGATCATTTTACACGGTATTATTTATTATGTTTAACTTATGAAAATTAAATATTTTTCCGGGAAAATCTTTAATATAAAATATTTTTTAAAAAAAATTTTTTAACAGGCCGATCCGAGTATATTTCATTTATCAATGAGTAAAAGTGTCAGTTCGAAATCAGCTCTGATGATTGAACAAGTAACTGCTCTTTCCGGTTCCGATATAAAACAAGGAAAAAATAAAATCACGATGCAAAAAATGGGGTAAATATTATAAATTTTGATATATTGTTTAAGGTACAAATTTTTAAATGTAAATATTTTTAATTAATTAGTTCATCGACCGATAAGGAGTCGGTATCCAGCAAAGGTCAACAAGGTAGCCTATCTAAACTTCATAATAACGTATCATTGCATTATTCTGACGTACACGCAGCCACCTTTCTAGATGTTGCTGTCTTAAGATGTTTATTTATATCTCAGTGGCCTGAGGAGGGAGTTTATTGGGCTTTGCAATTTTATTATCATAGGTGAACTATTAAAAAAAAACATTTAAAAAAAATAATCATAAAATCATAATAATAATAATAATTATTAATTAAATAGGCTGAGAGAAATATCAGAAGAAACAAACATTCAACAACTACCTAGAAAACGTAGCAATTCATTACCAATTCCAAAAATCGAAGTTTCTTTTTATCAGAGTCCGGAATTGAGAAAAAAAGATACAAATAAAGATTTTATAGAAGTGCCTGAAGTAAAAGATGTTTCTCGATTGGCAGGTAAAACGCCTACGCCTTTGCAAAAGGAAAATTTTTTTAGCAACCTGAATGATTGATTGATTGTTTCATTTAGAATCACCTTATTTTAATTGGAAACAAGGAGATGATTCTGTTTCTCATGCGAGAAGAGCAAGTGAAAAATGTACATCTAAAAAAAAAATGAAAATGGCGGATTTAAGAGCTTTTGTTGAAACAAAATTACTTTCAAAATCTGAAAAAACTCTTGAAAAAATCGGATCCGAAGAACCCAAAGCATTTTTGTTGCAGCAGGTTCATTTTTAATTTTTCTTTTTCCCCGAAATAAAATTTAACCGTTGATAATTATTATTATTATTATTTAGGATTACCATCATAGTTTAGACATCGGAGAAGATCATTTATCTCGTCCTTCTTCTGCTTTGGCAAAAATTTTCGAACACAGGCCCGATTTTAAACCTTTGGCTCTTGGAACGTTAGTGAAAGGGAAAAGTATGCCCAGCCTCAGGTAAGTTTAATCGAATAAATTAAGATTTTAATAAGAAATTATTAATGTATTAAATATTAAATTAATGTCAGGTACATAGGAGATCACGATAAACATGGTAAATCGGGAAAAATTTTAGAGGGTCATTCTCACACCATAACCAATCCAATAATTACCGTAACGGAACATACTCCAACTCCATCTCCAGATTTTCTCAAACGTCAGGTACAAAATATTATTATTATTATTATTAATTATATCAAAAAAATATACCTCTTATTTATTTTTTAATGTTTTTATTAAAAAAAGTTATCAGCTGAAAGTCAAACGGATGAAAACAGTTTACAAAGCAGACAACAAATATTTTCACAAGAACGTAAACACAGTCTGACAAGATCACAAACTGATTCAAACATAACTTATGCTTGCGATGATTTTATAGAAGCTCCTGGTGCTTCATATTATGTGACAAAAGAAGGAGATATTGATATTCAAGTCGTACTTAAGGTACGTTCAAAACTGATTCTATTCCACCCGCACCACATTCTAAATTTTCTTTATTTTAAATTTAGGCAGTCCACTTTGCAGCTTTACGAGACAACATGTGTTGCACCCTCAGAGTATGCGAAGTTATATTTAACCTATTAGAGTTATTGATAGACATGGGAGTGTTAAAACAAAATCCAAATTTGAGCGAATTAAGTATTTTTGGTAATAAAAATAATTTTGGAAAAACGGATAAAGAATCGTGTAACAGTTCGGAACATGAAGAAATAAGAGAAGAAATATCCGTTGTTAAAAATCCGGAGGAAAAACATTATACTTCTCACGAATTTATACTCAATACTGTTTTAAGGTGAGTTTTCCAGTTTTTTTTTTTTTAAAAAAACCGGAAAATTTCATGAAAAATTTTTTAGCGTTTATAAACATCTTGGATGTCCTCACGGTTGCGGTGACGGTCAAAGAGGTCCTCCAGCAGATTTTTTAAGATCTCAGGGACAAACAATATTAACAAAACTCCAGAGATTCAATTCGAAAAAATTTACAAAATTTTTAAGAAATTACGTTCGTAATCAGAGTCTAACGGAAATAATCGAATTTTTTCATTCTTATGTTGGTTTCTGCGTCGATCCGAGTTCTTTACTTTCCCCTCTAAGTGAGTATTTTTAAAATGAAACATAAAAACATAAAATGTTTTTGTTATCCTCCCATTAAAACCCCAAACTTTTTGTTTTCTTAAGCATTTGCAATTTATTATTATTATTATTTTTTTTTTTGATGTGTGAATGTTACAAAAAAAAAAAAAAATCAATTATTATATTCATATGATGAGATGTGTAAATGTCCATCTTTTCATTTATAGTTTCGATCCTAATTTTTTTTAGGAATGAATCATCTGTGGTTGTTAGCGAGGAAAGCTGGTCAAATTTATGGTAGGATTGTCTCACTCATTTGCCGTCAATTTTTATTTATTTTATTTATTTATTTATTTTTTATTAATTTTTTAAAACTATTCACTTGAAATTAACAACACGCTGTGCACCAAAAAATTATTATTATTTTTTTTTTTCATTTTCTTTCGCTAAGTATCGTATTATATATCTCCTCTTATAGTTTGTTTCGAAAAAAAACTCAAAATAATAATGATAATCGAATAATAGAAAAAATTTCAACAGAGAAAAACACATCGATTTAAATTAATTCTACATAATTAATCTCTCATTTCATAATTATTATTATTATTAATCGTGATTTTTATTTAATTAAAAGTCACGATTAATAAATAATAATAATAATAAATAAATATAATTGAATCGATGTTTTTTTATATAAAAAAAAGAAAAAAGAAAATTGTGTGTTGAGATGAATATTTATATTGGGCTTGAATAAGTTTTTCTTTCTTTGTCCGTAGTTTGCCTTTTTTTAATTTTTCTTATCTTTTCTATACAAAATCACACTTGGCTCCTTCACTACATTATTATTATTATTATTTTATAAACAAAAAAAATTTGTTTAAATAATTAATAGCCAAGTGAAGTAGGTAGAGAGCTATGGTCTGCATGAGTAGTAGTTAAAGGTCTTTTTCTTTTTTTTTTTTTTTTTTTAATGATAGAAGCAGACCCGTCATTTTTTTTTTTTTATCGTTTTTAGATTTAGCCAGCATATTTTTTTTTAAATTCGAAATTTTTTAAATTTAAAAAAAAAAAAATTTAATGAAAAATATTAAAAAAGAAAAAAAAATTGTCGAATGTTTCAACAGATCAGAAAAGAAGTTCAAGCAAAAGTCCAGAAGTAATAACTCAAGGATATTCGACAAATTTTGGTGCTGGTCTCAAAGGTGGAGGATCACGTGGGGTAGAAGGACAAATTATGACGAGCGTGTTTAAAACTTTGGTTTCAAGATTGGTTAAATCGTTAAAGGAACTTAAAACTCAGGAAAATATGGTGAGTTGAAATTTGTTTTATCATTGTCAAAAGGAGTGCCAACAATTCATCCGAATTTGATTGATTGATTGATTGATTTTTTCAGCCTTTATACTGTGATATAAGACAACTTATGACGTATATAAAAGAAGCTCACGGTGGAGTTTTCAGAAGGGTTGCTTTAAGCGGATTAATTGATTCCGCGAGTAGATTTAATAAAAAACCAAATAATATTCAAACTGCAAGAGTTTTAAGGCACGTTAGTCCAACCGATGTTGAAGATCAAACAGATGGACCCGGAAGTTCATTTTATCTCGATGAAAAGGGTCAAAAAAAATTAATATTTAAAAAGAAAAGCACGTCGTCTGCATGTGCAGTTAGTACTCAACTGTTTTTCTTTTTGATTGATTGGAAAATTTCAAATTTCAAATGAAATAATATTTTTTTTAGGGAGTTTTAGAAGCAGAAGGATCTGAAGAAGGATGTAAAAGTCAAAGTCCTTTGGGTAATGCTAAAAAAAAACATCAAGCGATTCTTACTCCGAGGCAAAGTGAAAAAAATTTGAGCATTTCGGAAATAAGTAAAACATTGAAAGGAGAAAAAAATACTAAATTCATACCGAAAATAGGAAATTTAGGTACGTCTTTAAAATATTGTCTGTCATTTATTATTTAAAATGAAAAATTAAAAATTTAAAAAATTTTAGTGAGTTGGTTTAAAAAAGAACATGGGAAATCAGAATCTGCAGACAGCCATGATGACAACGAAACAATTCACGATGGCGGCACTTTACCAAGAGATCAAACGCTTCATTATAATCTTATGGGTAAAAGTTCATCAAAAGGCAGTTCGGGGTAAGATGAAAAATTTTCAAAAACTCCCTTTATTTTTTTTCCCCCTAGAAATTCATGTATTTTTTATTATATTATTTTTAGGGATCTTAAACAGGCTTTGCAAAAAACAAGAAAACGCGTCGAAGATCAATTGAAAAGAAATTTCGGTTTTAGAAAAGGAAAAAGAAAAGATGGAAGCATTGAAGACACATCGGGAGCCTGTAAGTATATATAAATCCACATAATAATAATACTGAAAATATTTTAATTAATTAATTAATTAATTTTATAGACTTGAGCAGAAAAAGTTCTCTCGATTATGGTGATTCTTCTCGAGAAGCTGATTTTATAATTTTTCGAGAGCGAAAACTCGTCCCACTTCTTCCAGTACTCAATGGTATGATGCGATTTTCGTTTCTTCTCGAAACGTGTCAACCTGGTTCCGTACCTGATCAGCATTTATTGGCTGCTATTTTAGATTTGGTAAGAATCCCCATGATAATAATTTCCTTATTTTAACCTTGACCATTAATGCAACATATAAAATATAATTTATATATAGCCTCATGCGCCAATCGTTGCAAAAGCTGCTTTTTTGTTGGAATGTGCCTTTTTTGTACACAATTGTAACAAAGGCCAGTGGCCGACATGGATGAAATTAAACTTTCCAATATTTAGACCCTCGATGCCTAATCAAGCAAGAGTACCGACTTCAGGTATGAGGCGCACACATATTCTTCAAAGATCTTCAGGAAAATTATTTTACCAATGGGCCGAGGTATTTTTAATCAACTAAAAACTCTCAAAATTTTTCATCGCTAGAAGTCTCTTTATAATTTTAAAAAAAAACGATTTTCAGGCCGTAAGTGGAAGGTTGGAACAAATGCTTCAAAAAGATAGATTACTCATTCCTGATGTGGTTTCAATGGTTACCGAAGAAAGTCGTCAAAAAGAATTATTAATTGAAGACGAAGAGGAAGATTTCTTAGATGAAGGTAAGGTAGAAGAAGAAGAAGAAGAAGGTGGTGAGACGCAAAAGGAGTTAATCATTTATTTAAAAATTTTATTTTTACAAGCCAGCGTCAATTTATACGGAAATGAATGTCCGATCGCTTTGAGAATGATAGCTTGCATACTTTTACTTGAAATCACCGCATTTTTACGTGAAACTTATCAAGCACTACCTAAATCAAGAACTTCTGGTAAAGATCGTCCACCACCTTGGGAACGAATGTATAGCAAAGAAGCCAACAGACGTTGGAGTATGGCCTTGTCCAGTATGGGACACTCACAAACTTCTGCTCAAAGCCTTCAAAGTATTGCTTGCGATAAAGACACAGCAGGTCAAGCAGAAAGAAAAATTAGTTTTGTGTTACATGAACCCGACAATGAATCGGAAGGCAGTAGTAATACAACAGTTACCATTCAGGTGATTCTCATTCATAATTTGACTGAAAAAATAATTAAAACGCTGTTTGTTCGAAAATATTT